TCAGGCTGTGACAGGGTGAACCCCAGGGGTACCTGTGTGCCGATCCTTACTGTGTGTCCCTCAGGCTGTGACAGGGTGAACCTCAGGGTGATCCTGCGTCTGGCCCTGCTGAGGCTGGCTGAGGCTCTGCTCTCTGGGCTCAGCAGGACCACCTTCACATGACGTCCCTCCTGCCCCTCTGTCTCTCAGGCTCGGCTCCTCCGCCAATGACTGCTGTAGCCGTGGCCCCGCCCTCTGCGCAGACCCCGCCTCCGACACCAAGGACTACAGGAAGGTGGGAGGAGCGTCGCGGGACTACAGTTCCCAGAGGGCCGGCTGGTGGGGGGAGGATGCTGTGATGTGAATTAGGGCCTTCCCTTTCTCCGCCACTCCCTACGCTTTCCTTTCCTTCCCAGCGCGTCTGTCCGCGTGCCTCTTGGCTTGGATTGGGACGCAGGTCTGAGTGTGAATGTGTCGCTGCGCTTTGGGTGGGCGTGTGTGTGAGAGGGAGGGCAGAGCAGAGTCTCATGGCGCTGTGTCTGTGTGCGCAGCTGTTCGAGAAGCTGTCCCAGGAGAACTCCCAGCTGCAGGCCCAGCTCCAGGACACCCAGCGACTCATCAGCCAGACCCGCCTGGACCTGGACAAGGCCACTCAGGTCCCGGCGTCCCCTGTCCGAGATGTAGTAGCATTGCCATAGTAACTCTGCCCTGTGACGCCCATGCTAACGTACACAACTCCTCTCTCCACAGAGACAGGAGCGCTTTGCGGACTGCACTGCTCTCCTGGAGCTGGAGAGAAAGGTGAGGGAGAGGAGACAGGAAATAGGAGATACTCCAGTCCACATGTCATGTCAGGTCAAGCCTTACCACCAATCACATCAAAGACCTGGGGGCTGGGGCGGGTCAAGTCTTTCCACCAATCACAGCAAAGACCTGGGGGTTGGGGCGGGTCAAGTCTTTCCATCAATCACAGCAAAGACCTGGGGGCTGGGGCGGGTCAAGTCTTTCCACCAATCACAGCAAAGACCTGGGGGTTGGGGCGGGTCAAGTCTTTCCACCAATCACAGCAAAGACACGTTTGTTAGGGCGGTGTCAAGCCATTCCACCAATCACAGCAAAGAGACCTGGGGGCTAGAGCGGGATTATGCCTTTCCACCAATCACAGCAATCCACAGCTGGCATCCCCGTGAAGCCCAGCAGGAGTGAGTCAGCAGGTCAGTACCTGGATGGGAGACTCCTGGGAAAGCTGAGGCTGCTGCTGGAAGAGGTGTTAGTGGGGCCAGTAGGGGGCGCTCACACTGCGGTCTGTGTGGGTCCTAATGCCCCAATATAGTGACGGGGACACTATACTGTAAAAAAGGCGCCGTCCTTCAGATGAGATGTAAAACCGAGGTCCTGACTCTCTGTGGTCATTAAAAATCAGGGCGTTTCTCGAGAAGAGTAGAGGTGTTACCCCGGTGTCCTGGCCATCCCATCCCAGTACACACTTCTTTGCTGTGATTGGCAGGTTGTCTCCAACGTCAGCTCTATTTTCTAATTGGTTCTCAGGTTGGTTCCACTCAGCCCTCTGTGTTTGTGCTGTGATGGGCTGTGTTTGTGTTGTGATTGTGTTTGTGCTGTGATTTGCTGCGTTTGTGTTGTGTTTGTGTTTGTTCTGTGATTGGCTGTGTTTGTGCTGTGATTGTGTTTGTGCTGTGATTGGCTGTGTTTGTGTTGTGATTGTGTTTGT